CGTTCTGGGTGCATTTTTGGTGTGTTAATTTTGCACCTGGAACGGGCCATTCCGAATGCAAAATTAACACACCAAAAGTGCACCCAGAACGACCCATTCCGGTTTCAGAACGGGCCGTTCTGGGTCTAGGTGTTCAAAAAAATTCTCATCCACGTGACATCCACGTATGTATTTACGTGGCATCCACGTGGCCAAAAGTTAACTCCGTTTAAATAATTTGGACGGAAGTCTCACGTTGAAACTAATTAATTAATTTGGGACTAAATTGAAACCAATTAATTAGTTTGGGACCAAATTGAAATCAAAAATAAAAATGGAATTAAATTGAAATAAAAAATTATTATAAAAAACCAAATTAGATTTTTAGCCTAAATATTATATCATATTAAAAAGATAAGACACTATAAAATATTAAAAAATTGTATATAGTTATGCAGGTATAAAAATTCTTTAATTACAATGATTCACTAAAAGATAAAAATAAAAATAAAAAATAAAATAAAAATATTTACATATCTTATATTCACACTGTTCCAGATTTTGAAAGAGATATTTTATTTTTTTGATAAAATAAAAAAGATTACAAAATAATCTTAATTTTTATAATATTAATTATTTGTGATTAGGTATAGAATGGTTGAGATAGTTAGAAGTATGAGGACCTAGGTTCAATATTCTTTATAAAAAAATAATATTAATTATTTTAATATTTTTTAATTTAATCATTAGACTAATCCTCTAATCTTAACGGTGTGAGACTTTTGATGATTAAAGATGGGTTCTCACTTCTCACTCAAAAGTTGCGTGTAAGGTTTAAAATATTCTGGTTTGAACTTTTCCACAGCAGCAACCTGCCACGTAATGTAAAACAAAATTAATTGCGTATTCTTCTCTTCCATTATTTTCTTTTTTCCTTATTACTTCTTATACTTCTCTTCTAATCATTATTTCTTTTAAATTATGAATTTCATGATTTAAAATATTAATATTAGGATCAAAGTCACGTAAAATCAAAATTGTAAATAATCGATAACTATCAAATTTAAGATGATTGCATGAACTTTAAAGTGAAAATCTTGAATGATTGAAAATTTAATTCATTATTTTCCAATTTATAGAATGCTTTTAACGAGAAAATAATTAATCATGAAGATTTAACTCAGATTGTTAAACATGGTGCGTTGTTATTATATACGTTGTTAGTTGACTTCTTATGAATAAAAGAAATACAAAAAATATTTAGGATATTAAAAATAACTTTAAAAATGCAAAGTATTTATTGTTATTAATATGAGTTTAATATCTAAAATTTTATACAACAAATTCATTAAAAATTATTATTAATATAACTTTTAAAGTACTTATTATAAAACTTAATTAACTGATTTGTGAGTAGATAAGTATGTTTGTATTATCCTTTACTCCATATTTATATTTACTTTCTATTTTCCGTAAACATAAAAAAGTAGACTTTTTTAATTCAATAAAATTATTATAAATATGATTTTTACAAAACTGTTAACAATACATGATATTATTTTATTTTATTCATCATTTAAATATATTTAATCTCTTAAATTTAAATTTATGATAAATTTATTTATAATCCTTCAAATTTAAAATTATTATTTTTAGATTTATAATTTTAAAAAATATTATTTTAATATGAAATAAAAATTTAAATATTTATAAAATAACATACTATTCTAATTCATATATAAAAAATAATTTTGATTATAAAATCTATACTAAAACATTTTATAAACTTTTATTAAAAATAGTCAAACTAAACAAAATTTTAAATTTAAAAAATAAAAAATAAAAATTATATTCCAAAAATAAAAATAAAAATATTTTCTGAAATCAAACACACACTACACGATAAACATATTTATTTAGGGGTTCATTGCAAAATTTGCACTTTCTTGCTTCCAACCTATATTCGCTTTGGTGGCAGTTCAACTAACACACACAAGCCCTTCAATAGTTTCTCCTGTCGCTCCTTCCAAATGTCGTCGCCGGTGGCCACCGTCGTCTCCGCCGCCGCGCCGTACGACCGCGCCAAGGCCGTGAAAGAGTTCGACGAAACCAAGGTCGGAGTCAAAGGTTTGGTCGATTCGGGGATCCAAACCATCCCTCCTTTCTTCGTTCACCCGCCCGAAACCCTAGCGGGCCTGAAGCCCGGGCCCGATCCCGAATCCGCGCCCGAAATTCCGACGGTGGATCTCTCCGCCTTGGGGGGCTCCCGCGCCGCCGTCGTGGAGCAAGTCCGGCGAGCGGCGAGCACGGTGGGGTTCTTCCAGGTCATCAACCACGGTGTCCCGGAGGAGCTCCTCCGGCGAACGCTCGCGGCGGTGAAGACGTTTCACGAGCAACCCGCGGAGGAAAGGGCGCGGGTGTACCGTAGGGAAATGGGGAAGGGTGTATCGTACATTTCCAACGTGGACCTCTTCCAATCAAAAGCTGCCAGCTGGCGCGATACAATTCAGGTTCGACTTAACTTCATATGATTAAAAACTTCAAATCTATGGGTTTGACGAAGTTAAGTTTCGGAACTTAAATTTTATAAACTTAATTTTAATTAAATTGCAAATTTAGTGTATATTAATTTATGTTTAGATATTTTTATTCTAAAATATGCTATTTGTGAAAATGAAAATTGCTTATTTTAATATTCATGTTTATTTTTAGTATACTTAAATTGTCAAGAAAAAAATTGTTGTTACTATTTTATATTGTGATATTAATATTTTTAGTGAAGATTATTTTTAATAATTTTTGGTGAAGCACATCAGGAAAAGACTAAATAAAGTATAATATAATATAGATTTTAGTTCTTTAAATTTAGGATAAATTTATTTTTTAAAAAATTTAAAATTATTATTTTTAATTCTTATAATTTAAAAAAAAATTATTTTAATTTTTATATTTAAATTTTTTTAAAAAATTTATCAAATATTATTGTATAAAATTTATTTATTAATATTTCTCTTAATGAAAACATTACATTGAATTAAATTAATATTACATAATTGTCTTAATTTGTAATTTTTAGATATGTTATTAGTAATTTAATGAATTAAAATAAAATTTTTAAAAATTAAAGAATTAAAAATAATAGTTTTAAATTTGAGAAACTAAAAATAAATTATCTTAAATTTGTGAGATTAAAAATATATTTAGGTCTATAATATATTAAAAAAAAAAATAATTAATATATATTATAAGTAAAGTGGAAGATACTTTACCTAAAAAATTAAAATAAAACACTAACATATCAAGCAGAAAAGCATGGTGTTACTTTGTAAAAAGAATGGTGAGAAATGTTGTTTTGGAAACTGAAAAATAAAAATGTATGAGGGGATGTTGGATTGAAAATGTAAAAAGCAACATAAAAAACCCTAAACAACGTTATGAGATTAAATAAAAGCATTAGGGGTGTTACTTTGAAAATAAAGGAATAAATAAAGCACTAACATACCAAACAGAAAATTATGAGAGGTGTTGCTTTCAAAACAAGTTTAGATTAGAATGAGATTAAAGTAAACGTCAAAATAAGATACCAAACATTGGATGAGAAATGAAGGTCATTAACGTAACGTACGTTATCACTTCTGGACCATCCTCTGAGTCTGAACTTCTAGAATGAACTGCACCAAACGACACTCACTTACAATACTCGTTTGTTTATATTTTTATATAAAACAAATATATCATTTCAAGGGTTAAGACTTAAGATGCATGCACTGACTGCATAGAATCTTAATCATTACATATTTATGCAATTTTTTTAATCTGAAAAATTAGATAAAGAATACATGAATTAAATTTAAATTCCAAGTTAAATTTATAAATTTTTTATACACATGTTTAATGATTAAATGCTTGTGTGGTAATTAATAGATGAGACCATTGTTTTAAATTGCCAATTGTATCACGTATTACGATTGTAATATCATATTTGTAACTGTCCGCAATGGCATTAAACTATAATTGTAGTGAGACACGAAATTATACATTTTTTCGTAACGTAATAGTGTTGTGTTAGCAACACATCCACAATGCACCACAATATAGCAAATTGATACTATAATTTTAAAATAAATTAAATTATTCATTAAAACAATAAAATATTTTTTAAAAAAGAAATTAAAATGTATAAATCCTTAAAAATAAAATATATATTAATAATTCTAAATTTTTTATATTTAGTGAAAATAATTAATAATTTTACACTGCAATGGTCGCAATCCACATTGCAATATCCGCAACACCTGCAACCGCAATAATTGTAACCGCGACCGCAACCACAATTTAAAACCATACAAATTTTAAGAGACCTAGCAAATTTTAAGAGATATTTTAAGATGAGAAAAATGTTAGCCATTAGATTTTTTTGTTGTCATTTTTATTTTTATAAAAATTAATGCTAAACAATTTTTTTAGTCAACCTAATACTTAACTTTATTTTCAGTGAAAAACATTTGATTTAGGTTGTGGTTATGAAAAGAAATGATAAAGAATGTTGAATAAATGATATGATTGATTTCAGATTAGGCTGGGGCCGACCGCAGCGGATTGGAGCGAGATTCCGGAGGTGTGTCGGGAAGAGGTGATGGAATGGGACAAGGAGGTGACACGTGTAGCTGCAGTGTTGTATGGGTTGCTGAGTGAGGGGCTGGGATTGGGTGCGGAGAGGCTCACGGAGTTGGGTTTGGTGGAAGGGAGGGTTATGGTGGGCCACTATTACCCCTTTTGCCCTCAGCCTGATCTCACGGTGGGTCTTAATTCTCATGCGGACCCAGGGGCTCTTACGGTGTTGCTGCAGGACCATATTGGGGGCTTGCAGGTTGAGACACAACAGGGTTGGATCCATGTCAAGCCTCAGCCTCAGGCTTTGGTCATCAACATCGGAGATTTCCTTCAGGTTTTTTCATTTAATCATAAACTCATCTTTAACATCATTTTAAATTGCTTCATACTATAAAAATATTTACTTCAGCCTTTTATTTATTTAATTAGTTGTCTCATATTTATGATTTTGTGTATCTATCAGGTACTTTCAAACGAGGCATATAAGAGTGCTCATCATCGAGTATTAGCCAATAATTGTAATGAGGCACGAGTCTCGGTTGCTGTTTTCCTGAACCCTAGTGACAGGGAAAGACTTTTTGGACCATTGCCAGAGCTAACATCAGAAGAGAAACCACCTCTTTATAGGAACTTCACGTTTCATGAATTTATGACCAGGTTCTTCAAAAAAGAGTTGGACGGTAAATCATTGACAAATTTCTTCAGGAAGTGATGCACACGTACCATCTGTTTCTGCTCATATATCAATGTTAATTCTTAAAGTTATCATAATTAAGAAGCTTCATGTTCTGCTGCTATTTTATTTTATGCTAATACAGTTGTGGATATAAGGTGTAACATGTTTATAAATACATAATCGTTCTTCCCTCTGATCATGATCATGATCGTAGTCTACTTTTGAAGTGGCAAATTCTAATGGTTAATGTTGCATGACTTGGAAACAATACCAAATACTAAGTCAAATTAAGAAATTAATTACATGAAACAATACATACAATTGTGATTATAGATAAGAATATGTCAAATCTTAAATAAAAAATTTATATAAAAAATTAAATTTTAATTTTAAAAAAATATTTATATAAAAAGGTCGAATTTAAACTTATAAAAAAATCTGTTAGACTTAATATATATATTATTAAAAATATAAATATATAAATAAATGTATAAAACAAAAATAAATTATTAAAATTTAAATTATTTTTTTATATAATTAGTTTTCTTTATTATAAGTTATAAGTTTAAACTTATGATCTATGCATAAATGTACATCAACATACATAATTACGTATGGATTTTCCTTTAAAAAATGATTTAATTTTTTTTTTATATTTCTTTTAATATCTAAATTTTAAAAATATCAAGTAAATTATATTTTAAAAATAATTTTTTTAATTTATAAAAATTAAGCTTATTAATTTAATTAATATTAATAATTTATTAGATTAATAAGTTAGATCTATAAAAAAAAGTCTATAATAACTAATAAAGTAGACTTAAATTTTAATTTTATAAAACAGATTTAATCTATATATTCAAAATCTGACCTTGATTTATTTACATCCCTATTCATGATTCATCCAAAAGAACATCTAGATTACCAAAATTCTAAGTAACTAAATCGATGTATATTTGATATATATGCAGTATATTTTGTTTATTTATATCTTATATTTAAATTATATATATATTCAATATATAGTCCATTTTAATCATGATTTTAGTTCATAGACAAGGTTTGTGCAGCCTTACAAGTCTGATAATTCAGAATAAGGATTAATTTGTATTTTTAGAACGTGACTTTGATTAAACTTTTTAAAATATTAGCAAAAATCTTAGAAACAATACGACCTTTTGGGTCAAATAGGCTTGATTTATCTCTCAGAATTTTAAAATTCTACTTGATAATGATAATATAGAACTTCAAATTTGACGGGGAAAAATATAACCCATTTCCCCTGAAAATAAACAGAGGGTGCTTCAGAGTGGCTTGCTGAAATTATGGTCGATCCAATTCCAAAACTTAAAACAAGAAATGCGCACGGCGAGTTGCTATTAATGAATCGTGTGAGGGAAAAATGATCAGCAACGTGGATTGAGGCCCTTGATTTGCTGTTTGAGCTTAATGGTATAGTAAAATAATAAAGGAAATAAAGCACCTTTCCAGCAAGTGTTTTCTCAACTTGGCAAAGGTGAATGAACGGTGTTGGACAAGCAAGAAAACATGTGGACGAACAGCTCGTCAGAAACTACAAGGACGATGCCAAAAGCTGCAAGGACAACATTGGACGAAAAGAACAGTGCCGTGGGACTCGAACAAAGGCAAATCAAAGAATACGGAGGGAGGGAGAGTGTGGTTTTCGTATGTAAAAAGTGAGAGATCGAAGAAAATAGAGAGAAGGTTAGAAACCCTCTCTGAAACAACGTCGTTTTGGGCATTTAGGGGTTAAAAAATTGACCTTAAGCTAACTCGTAGACTTGCCCATAGACTCGCGATTTTGAGCGATTCCACCTGAGTCCAGCTGAGTCTACAAGAGTTTACTAGAAAACGATTCCAGAAGAAAGTTAATCAGTTTTCCTATCTGAACTCGTAAACTCTTACGATTCTACGAATTAACTCGCGAGTTTGACAAACATGACAGTACTACAAACTCCATGGAAAAAGCTAAATCATGTAAGAGTGGGTACTCTTATGGGAAATTGTCTATTCCGGAAAAGCTTCATAAGAAGACAAAATCCAACATAAAACAAATAACAAGTGTGTGTTTAATTTATCATCTAAAAAGTGTTCGAGGGACTTTCACTTGTTTTAATGTACAAAATATAATAAATATTTAAATATGTTTAAAATTATGTTTAACGAAAAAATACAAATTTCAATGTTAAAAGTATACAAATTTATGAATGTTATTTTTTTTCAATACTTAAATACATATAGAGAAGTAACTTTGTTCGTCTTATTAAATCAAACTTAAATTACATTGTTCAAGGGACTTTCACTTATTTTAATGTAAAAAAATGTAGAAATAACTCTTTCGTCATGTTAGATCCAACATAAATTACATTAAGGAAACACATCTTAACACACGGTGCCTTAGAATTTCTAAATATTGGTTGGCAATTGGTTTGTAAATTATACTTGCAAATTGAAATAAATTTAGGGATATACATCATCCGTCTCGTCTAAAATTAATTTGGTCTGATATGAGGTTAATTTTAACAAGTTTAAATTTTAAAAATTAGATGCAATATATTTTGAGGATGAAGATTGGTTTGGTCTCATTCTATTAAAAATGTTTTTTAATAATTATACTTTTATAATATTTTTATTTAACAGATTATATTTTATAGAATATGATATTATATTTATATTAAAATTATTTATTTTTATATATTATAAATATATTTTAATTTATACTTTATACTTAGTTTATTCTGTTATTTAACTATATATAATATTAAATTAATAAATTACTTTAATATATAGATAAATATATAGACATATGCATTCACATGCTGAATTGTGATAATATTAAAATGTACTCCATTAAATTAAAAATTAACTATTACAATTGAGAGCTTTACTCTTCAAAAGTCCCCTTGTTTGCTTTAAATAAATTAAATCATTTTACTCATTTATTTTGACTGTAGATCCTTTTCTTCATGTACACACCTTTTTCTCATTATTTTAAAATAGGCCAAAGTCAAATAAGGAAGTTTCAGAAAGCATATTTTCTATCAGTGTTGACTAAAAATCATGACATCGTGAAATAAAATAAAATAAAATCATGTTTTTCATCGTGTGACCTTGGTTTTCAAAACTATCAAGAAGTAATTAATTGTTAGTAACTTTACTTTTTAGTTTTACAATATTTTTGTGAAACATATAGAAACCCGAATGTTAAGGATAATGCCGGTCCAGACATTCTATGCGTGTTAAAGAAAATAATAAATTAAGACTCTTTAAATGTAAGTATAAAGTAAAAACATATTTAACAAAAAATAGGTATGTAATTTTATTAAGAAAATTATACATCTTACTACATTAAGTGTATAATATAATTTTAGAGAGGTAAAATTTACAGTTGTTGGGACTACTTGAAGAGATTCTCTCGAGATATGCTCGGGACAGAAGAGTCAATTGAAAGTACGCAAGCCATGCAAACAAATAAAGGATAAGTATGACCAAATGCATATAGGTATTCGATGGTAAGTCGAGAGGTTAACAACGATTACCTGAATAATGTGGGAACAATTATACCTGGGTGGCTACTAAACGAGTAAGTTGAAGAAATAAAAATCACGTGGGATAAAACGGTTATACAAAGTTACACTTAAGCCACGTAATGGGAATAGTGGATACCGGTTACGAGCCCACAACGTACGCATACAATGTTAACCGTTCTCGATTTAAGCCACGAAATGGAGGTAGTGGATAACAGTTACGAGCACACAATGCACTAACCGCTCACAGCTAACTCTATAAATATGAGAAACACATCCGTTCACAAGGGTCGAAAATTTCATACTCGTACTTTTGTAAGCACTTTCTACCTGCACATATGGCTTCCGTGCATGGGATTGCTACTAGGTATGACTACTTCTTGGCCACATTTTCTTTCTTTTCTTAGGATTAGTGTAATTAGTTTCAATTCGTAGTTAGTTTATTCCTGATATTGTAATTTGATCGTTATGCGAAATGAACTATGATTTGCATTGCCAATATATTGATTGTTCATTCTGTTCATTTGAGTATTTACATGCATGAACATTATTGCTTAATATTTATTAATGAAAATTTGGAGACAAATGTTTACTAGTCACCTTCTTTTGTCTTTGTCACTATTCTTAAATTTTAAATACCTAAATTGAAACAATTGCATGCTAGTTCAAATAAAAAGAACTCGTAAACGAATTCCACCACAAATAATAGTGTATTTAAAAAAAAAATTAAAACAGTTTCTTCAAATATCAATTACAAATTTTATTAAATGTATTTTTCATTTATTTTTTATATATCAAACTTAGAGAATGGATATAATATGTTATTAAGTGTAGATTTTTTAATTTCAAATAATATTGGACCCCTCCAGGTCAGAATCAGAAGCCCTAAACAATTGCACTTCTAAACTACACTCGAAGACCGGCTCTGTTTAAGGAGCGACACATGGTCCATAGCAAAGGTCCATGACACCTTAAATAATAAATATTCAACCATTTGTATAGCGTCGATTGAATTAAATTTCCTTAGAATATTCTGATCATCAGAAAATTCAACATATTATCACCTTTCGATGCCTTCAGGAAGCCTTTGGATGTTATACATCGTCTTATTCTACGGTCAAAGTTGTCTCCTCACTCAACTACTTTTAGCCATTCAAGTATAAATAGAAATATCAGACATTGTGACCTTATATCAACCTATTCTTGCAGCATAAAAACATATAAAGACCCTCCCAAGTATTTTATGTATTCTTTGGGACTTAAAAATTCATGCTTCATTCAAATATCAAAACGTATAGATAGTGCATGCATGGACAGTGCAACAAAATTTTACATTATTATTCAATTCAAAATGGGGGACAAAAAATATTCAATTTCCCAATAGATCAAGCCGAGGTAATAGACCAAATCGTCTATGAACATCCTCGTCTTACTCTATCAAGTTGATGCACTATAAATTGGTGGACTTTTCCAATATTTACCTTAAAATTTATATTTATCATGATTTCTAATTTGTTGAAAATATAAAAACTTTTACATTAATAGTGTATAGAAATTAAAATTTAGAATTCTACCTTTCAATCTTACCTTTTCCAAACCATTCGTCCATTTCTTCATCATCAGTACTCTGGTTATTGTCAGAACAAAATTCATCATCAGTACTCAGGCTATCTGAACAAAACTCATCATCAGTTTCACTTTGCCATGAAGGCCTTCTGAACTGATTTGGCAACTCAGTCTTGTATGCTTCTCTCCTTTGTACCTCAGTCAATTGAGTCTTACCTCCAACAATAGGAAAATCCACAAAGTCAGAAGGATCATTTGATTTATTTAAGCACTCGTGATTTTCATTTCTATCCTCTACAAATCTCCACATGTGTGAATCTCTGTTCCTGTTCTTTCTTCCAAAAATCATTGGTGTTTCATAACTTCTATCACCCTGATGTGCCACAAAAGCAAATTTGCTATTCTTATAGTGGTCTATATCTTCTTGCTGAGGTTGAAGAGAAGATTTTGAAGCCCTTGACACTATAGGCCGTCTATGGTCACATTTCAGGCAAACCATGTTTCTTCTGAAATTGAGGTAATTGCATCTACACAAACAGGATTTCAGTCATTTCAACAGCAAGTAAATACAAAAAGCTGAAAAAGACTCTGGTCATTTCTTACAGAAACTGAAACAAAATATTGGTATGGTTAAAGAAAACCTACGAGTCACATTCCCACTCCCCAGGATTAAGGTGACGATTGGAAGGCCTCTCTTTGCATTGCAAACATCTTGTATTCTTTGCAAAATTCAGGAAATTGCATCTGCAGAAATCAAAATTGATTTTAGTTTCAAATTAAACACTATATAAACCTACATGATATTAACAGCCATTACTTATTGCATATCCAGTCTCCCTTCTTCAAAGGTAGGTGATTGTTATCCTCCTTCAATTGCTTGATTTTTTCCTCAAACAAGCTGTCACATCGTAAGCACCTGATGTTTCTAGCAAAGTTCATGAAATTGCATCTGGACAATGAAAGATGAAAATGAAAACATAAATAATTGCAGGAGAAACTACTACAAGATTTAATAAATAAATAATTAGTAGATGAAAATTAAACTCTACTTGGGGCAAATCCAGTCGCCTTGCTTCATCATTGAAACATCTATTTTTCCCTTGTCCTGCTGATTGGGATGAACATGTTCAATGACAGCCTCTGTGGTGTCTGAAAAATTAGAATTTTCCTCTTTAGTACTGTGCTCTGTTATTTCTTTCAGCAGTCTTCTCACAGAGTCTTCCACCCTTTTAGTTAGACACGGTTTGTTTTCCACTGAACCAATAATTGGATCAAGCCCATAAGTCAAAATAATACGCATTACATCCACTGTTCTTCCACCTTCATCTTCTCGTGCCTTCACAAATGCCCTTTCACAGTCCCCCCTCAAATTGCACAAACTGCATACCTGATTGAAGCACCAGTCCATACAATTCCTAGTTATTAATTGACGATAAGTAATTTGTTTTTGGATATAGAAATGAGAGGAATATAAAAGAAAACAAATGATTGTAGAAACTTGATCATCACTTACATTTCCCTCATCAATACCCGCATATGCTCTCAAACGCTTTCCTGAGTTGATCACTTTCCTATCTAAGCTCGGACATCCAAGTGCCACAGTAACTCCTATATCTTTTCGAGACAAGAATCTGAGAACAAAGTCACTTGCAAAATAACTTTGGTGCAAATTATGTAGGAATTGAACAAAAAAAGAAAAAAACTTGTGCATGAATTACCATTGCCAGTTAAATCCATTAGCAAGGAACTCATAAATCCATAAGTCCACACTGGACTAGAATGGTAATATTAAAAACTAGGCCTTCTTTTCTATTAAAACATACAACTTACAACCTTATATCTGGAAGTGTGATCTCTATCTGAAGCCATCTAATCTAAAAATATTACGGCCTATGTGGATAAACTTCTATAGAAGCTCGTCTCTTCTTGAAGAAAAAAAAAAATGAAATAAGTTTCTCCTAAAATTAATTTATACATAAGTTGAAAACCAAACTTTGAAAAAAACAATATATGAAAAAGCTTATACAAATTAATTTATGCACACATAATCTAATTTTAGCTTTGGAAAAGTTTAGCTCATTTTTCCTTTGTATTTTCTTCTCTAAAATACTTTTGAAAAAGTTTATCAAAACACCCCCTTATACCACGGTCAATTATGGCCAGGAAGGTTCAAAGAAAACCCTCTTATGTTTTCTGACAACTTAATTAAACTTTTCGAGACAAGACATGATGCTCTGACTCCTTAAACCAGATTTTTTTATGTTTGGAACCATAATATATTTTAGAAAAATTGGCCATAGCATCAAAAGGGGAATATAAAAAAGCTCTAAATCATGCGTAGGTTTACGTCCATTTGAACATCACAGCCTGTCAGAGTTCTAAACACAAACACCTAGCATGCACAGCCTCAGCAAACAGAACAAACCAATAACTAACCAACCACCACATAAGTGACATAAACGCATATATTTTACCTCAAAAGGTGAAAGTGGTCTCTACCGAAATTAAGACAAGCGGTTCTAACGACATTGCAATCTTTGGCGCCGAAACCAGCATTGCGAAACGGGTTTCCCTCTTGGTGATTGAAGTGTCCCTTGTCGAGCAAGCACTTCATGAGCTGGACCCACTCGGGCCAAGGATGCGAAACGTCGTCGTCCACGAAACCCGAGGGCTCTTCGGTGCTCCACCTCCAACCAGGAGCCTCCACCTCGTTGGAGACGAAGTGTCGCCTCGCGAGGGCGCAGGTGGCGCTGTGAAAGAGTGAAGCGGGTGAGGAGCACAGGAACGTGGGACTCCAATGTGGGTGACGACGACGTTTCCAGAGGCTTCGGAGCATCATGTGGTTCGTTCACTGTTGCGGGTTCAGTTCGGTTCCATACTCTGCTGTAGTACCTCGTATGAGTTATGACACGCAGTTTTTTCACCCGAATTGAAATTAACATGTATCGGTTCAGGAAGGAAGTTGAAAAATAAATAAATAAATAAATAAAACAGAAGAATATTATAATGCTAAATTACAATTATTATTCTGCATTTTGGGAAGAAATAAAAAAAAAAAGAGAAATAAAGTGAATAAAAAAAGGAAAATGAGTAAATGAAAATAAGTGAAAAATAGAATAGAATTAAGGGTGGTTGGTTTTAAAAAAAATTATAAAATTTTATTTTTTTTTTTATTAACCAAAATCAATTGTATGCGTTTATTCATTTGGACGGGTGTGAAAAAAATATAGATTTGGAGAATTTTTTTTATAATTATAATATTGGGATTGACTGATAGAGTATCCTTGTTCAATTTTTTTTTCATATGTATGATTTAAATTCAAGATCTATAGAAGATCGAATTCAGTACCACTTAGACTAACGACTGATTAATAATTAGATGAGTAATTGATTATATTTTTTTTAATTGATTTTAACATTTTTTGACTGGTTTTAAGCCAACAATATATGTTAAAAAAATAAAATAATTGTGAAATTTTTTTAGCATCAATATATATTAAAATAAAATTAAGTATAGTGGAGATTTTTAAATTAAAAGAAAAAAAAAGAATAATAAATATGTAATTTCTAGCAATTTTGAACCACTAGAAAAAATTGTCACAAAATGTGTCAAGCATGTCTTGTATAGTTGAAAGCGAAAATTAAAAGGTGTATTATATTCCACATATTTTAATTTGCTTTTCCTCATTTCTCATTTATTAAAAATTTCATCGATTTATTTTACTCATACCTTTGCAAGTGACAAGAACGAAATAATAATTATCTAGTTCCAAAACAAGCCTAAAGAGTCTCTATTATTAATGTAACAACCTTTGTGTCCAATCTCAACTTGTAGGTTCACTGAATCACTAGAGTCTACCTAGTGATGAAGGGTTAGGATAGTATGCGTAAAGTTCTAGATATGAACTCTGAAGTCATCATTATAATTCCTATGGATACACACACACACAAGAGGGATACACATACTCTAACTCAGTCTTGGTAGACTTATTTTACTTAATAACACATGTTATACATTAAATTTCAACGATCTAACCATTAAGTTAAAAGTTCTTAACGTATATATTAAGTTTGCAAATTTTTAAAAATTTGAAACTATTTGATACTTCGTTGCATTAATTTAAATTGAAAAATAATCATAAAAATATTTTATACATTGATATGAATCCATATAATAAAGTATTATATGGTTTTCATTTTTTTAAAAAAATTATAGATTTGATCTATACATTAAAAACTTTTAACTTAACGGTTGGATCATTGAAATTCAACATACATCATGAGTTATTGAATGAAGTAATTTTATCAAGAGTTATTCTTGAAATAATTTGATCATTCCTCGTATATATATAAACTCATAGGTGCATTTTACCTTTGGTCAATTTTCTACTCTCCTTTAATCCTTCAAATTGGTACAAATTTGAAAACTACATCTAGTATCTAATACTCATGATGTTGAAGTATATAAATTAATTTCAATGACATAAATACCTAAAGTGAAAGCTTATTTCATTTCTTCTTCTTGCACATTTCTTGGCATATCAAGAAATTCATCTTCTAATGTTTGGTCCTACATTAATGGAAGTATGAAACATCTTTAGCCACCTTGCTAGTCGATTTTAGGCCAAAAAAAGCAAGCTTCAATTGCTCCTTGCCCTTGTTTTCTTGTTATCTATAATCAACTCTCCCTTGTCTTGCCTACTTCTGAAAGAGTAGTTTAAAGTGTTTGATCATGCCAAACGTCTCCATATTCTTGTGTTGCTTCTAAACCTTTGAGCACATAATAACAAGGCTAAGAAATCCAACATCTATGGCTCGTTCAAGAAGTAAACAACATGGGCTCAAACCATCAACACGATCGTGTTCAAGCCTGCAAAAATAACTACACAACATGAGCTCCAAGTAAACAACACCTAAAAATAGGCATATGAAAGCATGCATAATAAAAACAAAAGCATGTCATATATGAAATAAAATCACATTTTTAATTGTGGAAAACATTCAAGGATTCAAGGTAATCATATGCCTATTGTTCTAATATCACTTTGGGGTTTCAAGGGGTATAATAAAAAACTTTTAAATATTAGTAGTGTAACAACCCGATTTTCACAGATTGTACGAAGGCCTAAAAGTCCAATATAGGTGATTTAGTAGCCTAGAACAGGTCGTTCTCAAATTGGAACGAGTCGTTCCAAACTACTAAAAAGACCTATTTTTGGTAGCCTAGAACGGGCCGTTCTAAACCACTAAAATGGCCTATAACCTTAGTTGGGAACGGGTCGTTCCAAAGTTGGGAACGGGTTGTTCCAAACATGGCCGTTATGGGTTAAAATGTAAACCCAGAACGAGCCGTTCTGATTTTAGAACGGGCCGTTCTAGATGTGAAATTTTACACATGACGAAGAGTCTAGAACGGGCCGTTCCAGATTTGAAACGGGCTGTTCCGGCCACTCCTGATGCCTATAAATAGAGCGCTCTGGCACTCCCAAAAAGCACACTTTTCAGTTCTGACTTCTTTCAGTTTTGACTTCTTTCGGTTCTCACTTCTTTTCCTTCTACATTCTCTGAAGACCGAGGGGAACCTAGAGGAGGAGATTAGTCAGATCCTGCTTTAGTTTCAGCTACTACTTATAGAGGTACGGGGGAAAAGGGAATTATTTGTATGCAAAGTTACATAAGGGAATTGGGTAGAGGAGGAAGCTCGTAGGATTATGAGTAATTTTATAATTGTTTCTGTTTGGAGAATTATTAGTATTATGAGATTCTACATGTGTTAAGGATTATGAATATATAATTAATTTGTAAAAATGATGATCTGGGAGGGAGAACGAAATTATAAAAAAATGCATGTGAGTTAGGTTTTGAAAAATTGGGAATTTTACTATTTGATTTAATATTCTATTAAATTGGTGAATCAATTGGGTTTTATATTAATTTATAAATGTTATGGTTATATTATATGATAACAATTGATGATCTAGACGTGGATTCATGGTGAATTGCTTGAGGGATATGTGAACCATTGTTTTGTGTGGACTTATCTATATTGTGTATGTGATGCGAAATTGACTTAAGGACTTTGGTGTGATGTCTTGGCACAAAGGTGTACATATTGTATCACCGTTTTAGTATTGAATTAATAGCATGGTGTGGCGAATGGTATGTTATGGCTTAATTGTTCAATTAATTATGATGTGAGTATGTTGACATGAAATGAGATGTTGTGATGAATGTGAATATGACGGGATTGTGGTTCCTCACACTAATGACCAGGGATGACACGACCCTTGGGTAAGTTATAAGGACGACGTGACCTTGGCATAAAGTGGGATGAGTGAGGCAATTAACCCGTATCACTTATGTCAGTTGTGGCGTGGCCTTGGCATAGTTTTAATTGTAAGATTTGTGTGGATTATGAATGTGAAAATGATAATGTTAATTGCAAGATTTGTGATGGATTGGTGTGATTGCGAATTATGACGTGGAGATGATGCATGATTGATAGAGTTATGATATATAGAAATGCTTGTGAATATTTCATTAAGTAATGAGTTATGATGAGATTATGTTGTGTTTTTCCTTATGTGCTTTACATATAGAAGTTTTCTTTTCGCACCACACAATTTGTGGATGTTTTAGGTGAGAAAGATCCGGCTATGAGTGACATCTAGAATGCAAACAATTGAATTATGGGTATGCTATGATATTGTGACATCGGAGCAGAGGATTTCTAGGAAATGGATTTTATTTGTATATGGAGTTGTACTTATTATTTTGAAAATATTTTGTAACTTCTTATGTTTTATTTTCCAAGTTTCATTTTCAAAATATTTTGGATATTAAAGAATGTTTCTGAAGGTTTTTATGTGAACCCTTTTACCGATGTTGAAAAATTTATTTTCTTAATTTATTTACATTATTACAATTTATGTAAGGAGACCAATAATCGATTCAAAGGTACTAGCTTGCTTCAAGAAAGTTATCCAAACAACCAAACAAGGAAGGTAAAATAAATAAGGAAATAAAATAAAAATGGGGTTTGCCTCACTTTTATTCAACGTCACTGTGAACGCTGCTACTGTGTATTACTATCGAAGACGATTTCCAGCGACGGTGACGCTCACCTCATCTTCTTCCCCATATATTTGGGTGTGACGAACCAATGCACAAATCAATCGTCATGAACGCTATCATGCACCACCATTAGAGGCGATTTTCAATGATGACGATGGTTGCCCTTATCTTCACTCTCACACCAATAAAATTTATGAGCACCGAAAGAAGCTTGTAGGAGGAAAATGGGCAGGGTGCAACATTGGTATGACTTTTATTCCTTTTTCATTTGTTGTTTGGAAATTAACAATGTTATTGTTTACTAAATCCATGTGTTTTGATTTTTGAAATAATTTCATGAGCATGCAACACACACATATAATCACAAACACATTCTCTACTTTGTGAAGGAAAAAAACCACCATAATTACATCATTTAATTGCTTGAAAATGTAAGGAGACCAATAATCAATCAAAGCTACTAGCTTGCTTCAAGCAAGTTATTCAAACCAGGCAAACAAAGAAGGTAAAATAAATAAGGAAATAAAATATAAGGGGGATTTGCCTCACTTTTATTTAATGCCATTATGAATGATGTTACCATGTGCCATTGTCGGACACAATTTTCGATGGTGATAATGCTTACCTTCATTTTCTTCCCCATATCTTTGGGTGTGACGAATCGTTGCACATATCAACTACCGTGAACGTTGTTGTGTAATGTAATTGGAGGCAATTTTTGGTGATGACAATGGTTGCCTTTATCTTCTTCCTCACACCAAGGTTGTACGTTGTTACAATGAGTCATCGCATGGACGCACCACTGTGAGCGCTACTGTGTGCATCGTTGGAAGCAATTTCTAGCAATGGTGATTTTCACC